GAAGTGGCGCTGTGGCTCAAGTGGTAGAGCGCTAGCCTTGAGTTGAAGAGATGAAGGACAGCGCCCAGGCCCAGAGTTCAGGCCCCACGACCGGACACACACACACACACAAAAAAAGATTTAGTGGAAATATTAGGCAACGAAGAACTTCACCTAATAGTCAACACTTAAGGACATTACTGCCTATGTGATTCAATGTAAGGAGTTGAACATATAGTAGTCTATTTCAGTTGGGAGATAACCACAGAATAAGAAATACAAATTGGCATAGCTGCATCAGAAGTAAAGAAAAAATAGTTTTGTGGCTTGAGATGAAAAAAAAAAAACCCAAGCAATTCTTAGGTGAAGGTTGAAATAACAACAGTTGAAATTCCAGTAGAAATTGTTTAGGCATATATTTCAGAGTTTACTTTAAAAGAATTGAATTACAGCATCAAGGTTGTAATATTTCCTTCTAGAACTTTTGAAAGAATTTTATTCTAGAAATACGTGAACTTTCTAATTAAGCTTTTCTTCCATTTATTCAGATCAGCTGTTCCATGTATTAGCTTTGCATATGCGTCTATATACTATTGACTCTGAGTATAATCCCTGGAAAAAGCTCACCCAGTTGGTAGAAGATATGAATTCACAGTAAGTATTACTTGAACATTAAAATGAGCTGAAAATCCTTCTTGAAAAAAAGTTGTTAAATATAAAACCGTTATTGAAATTTCTACATGAATATATTTCCTGATGAATCATGTAAATGTCTAATAAAATTGAAACTGTTTACTATAATACTCTGAAAATAATTACTAGGTAAGAAAATCTTTAGTTTATCTTGGTTTATATGCAGATGAAGTTACAATTCATAATGTCTGAGTCACTTTTATGTAGGAATTGACTACTGGGTTCTTGTAGCCTTAATCTGACTCCTGCTTTACAAAGTTTCCCATTAGTTTCTTATCTTCTAATGATTTTAGAATCATCCTTGATGATTCTTGTGTAAGTACATCATTTCATTAGAGAGGACAAAATAGAAAAAATTAAATCATACTGCTAGCCTACTGGTAGCTCACACCTAGGAGGCTGAGGATTGTGGTTTGAAGCCAGCTTGGATAGGAAAGTCCATGAGACTCTTACCTCCAATTAACTACCAAAAAACCCTCAAGTGATGAGTTACTAGCCTTGAGCAAAAAAACTCAGGGACAGTGCCCACGTCCTGAGGTTAAGTCCCAGGATTGCTTCCTCCCTCAAAAAAATCTTCTAATTTATTAATTTACTACTACTAATAAGATTTACTAATCTTATATCAGCTATTTTTGATCCCAAATATGACAAAACGAATGCTTGATTATTTCCAATTTATAAAGTTTTAAAGTAATGAGTAAATGCCTTAGTAACTTCCAGTAATGACCAATAAGTCGTAGTTGTTTATTTTATAATCTCTTAGATTTTTTAATATATGTGATATATATTCACTTCATTTCACTCTCTCCTTTTTTCAATGAAGATTGCTCTTTTTTATTTTTATTTTATTTTTTTACAATTACATGGGCAAGATGATGAGTACATTTCTTATCAAGCATTGTAGCCTCCTCCTTTGTTTTCCCCTCCTATCCTCCCCCCTCTTCTTTATGTTAGTGAGAATCTTTCTGGTTTGGCTGTTATACTTTCCATGTGAGCTTAGTAATTTTTGATAATATTCTTGCTTTCTGATATATGTTCATTTTGAACACATTTTACTATACACTTTGACTCAGCCATTTGTCTGTGTAGATATCTTTTAATGCCAAATGATATATAGTGACCACAGTGTAGGTAGTAAGGGCATATATCGCTTACGTGTTTGTTGCTGCTTATAGGCCATTTCACTGGCAGAATTAAGATTTTAAGTATTTTGTCATTTGCATATTTTTAATCTTGAAAACCATTACTTCTAACATTAACTTTAATGCCAATATTACTAATTAGAAGTTCTTTTTGTCCTTAGAATATATATTGCTAGAAACATATAGTGAAATACTGTATTTTGTATAACTTGAAATAAGTTATGTTTATATCATGTGTGATTTATACTTAAGCCAATTTATTTCAATTCTTTTTCATCCCTTTGTTTAAAGCTTGACTATTTTTTTATTATAGAAAACATCCTTTTTCAAAGTAAAAAGTATATACTACAATAAATTCAGACATTTCTTTCATTTCTATCCATTTGTAGTTTTAGTGAAGTTTCTAATTTGTGTCTATTTTGAAAACTTGAGATATTGGCTTTTTCCCTCAAATTTTAAGACATTATGTCTTAGCTCTTTGTGTTGTATATAGCAAATATATTTCCCCAAATTAGCAAATATCTTTTTAATTTTTGTTTTTTATAATTTTTCCTTTTGTTAACCTTGGACTTTGACTCATAGATGCTTCTCTCTACTCCCTAGCTTACATGGAGGTTTCTAATCTGTTTGGAATTTATCATGGCTTTATTTTATGTTTCCATATAGTTATCAAACATCTTTTCTTGTAATAGTAAAATACCAAAATTAAAAAAAAAAAAGTTAGCAAAAAGGTGAAGGGGCTGGGAAGGTGGCTCAGTGGTAGAGCACTTGCCTTGTATGCAGGAGGCCCTGGGTTCGATACCTCAGCACCACATAAGCAAAAAGAAAAAAGCCAGAAGCGGCGCTGTGGCTCAACTGGTAGAGCGCTAGGCTTGAGCTGAAGAGCTGAGGGACAGTGCCCAGGCCCCACGACTGGAACCCCTCCCCCCCCCCAAGAAAAAGAAAAGGTGAAGATGCTTTTTGTTTACCAATGTGGATAGATTACCAAAATACAATGTTAAAAGAAACCAATCTGAGCCTGGCGCTGGTAGCTCATGCCTATAATCCTAGCTACTTAGGAAATGGAGATATGAGAATTGTGGTTCAAAACCAGCTGGGGCAAAAAAGTCCGTGTGAGATTCTTACTGACTCAGAAAACTGGAAGTGGTGCTATGGCTCAAAGTGGTAGACTGCTAGCCTTGAACAGAAGAGCTCAGGGATAGCTCCCAGGCCCTGAGTACAAGCCAACCAAAAGAAAAATCTGGGAGAAGAAAATGTATAGATTATGCCACCATTTGTACTAAAGATTTAAGGAAGGAGAAAATTATTTGCTTGCTTAAAAGAAAAAGAAAAAATCATACCTATACCTATCTGGATATTGGATTCATAGTACAGATGACCCTAAGGGGATCAGCAGTAGGGAGAACATAGTCTATAATAAACAGTGATACTACTTGAATATTTATATGGAAAAATGAATATTGAACAGTGCCTCGTAGGCTCTATTCAAACTTTTCCAGTTGTTTTAATAAGGTAGATAAGATTGTGGTTGCAACTAGTTGTTATGTCTTTTTTTCTTTAATTTGAAATTGGTTTTGATTTTTTTCTTTGTATTTCTTTTTTTTTTTAGAGTTTAGGTTAGTTAAAGAATAGAGCTGGTTGGGGCTGGGAAGGTGGCTCAGTGGTAGAATGCTTGCCTTGCATGCCTGAGGCCCTGGGTTTGATTCCTCAGCACCACATAAACAAACAGACTAGAGCTGGTGCTGGGTAACAGTGGCTCATGCCTGTAATTCTAGCTACTCAGGAGGCTGAGCTCTGAGGTTTGCAGTTCAAAGCCAGACCAGGCAGGAAAGTCTGTGTGAGACTCTTATCTTGGATAACCACCAGAAAACCAGAAGTGATGCTGTGGCTCAAGTGGTAGAACGCTAGCCTTGAGCTGAAGAGCTCAGGGACAGTGCCCAGGCCCAGAGTTCAAGCCCCACCACCAACCAAAAAAAAAAAAAAATAGAGAGCTGGTATTTTTTTTTATTGTAAAAATACTGTACAGAGGGGTTACAATTACATGGACAAGATAATGAGTACATTTCTTTCTTTTTTTTTTATTGTGAGAATACCCTACAGAAGTTACAATTACATGGGCAAGATAACGAGTACATTTCTTATCAAGCATTGTTTCCTCCTCTTTGTTTCCCCTTCCCATCTCTTCCCATATTCCCCCTCCCTCCACCCAATCCTCCCCCCACCCCCCACCAAAGTTGTAAAGTTTGTTTTTCAACATAATGACTTGTACATCTCATTGTTGCAATGAGTCCACCTGTATCCCTAGTTAAATGATTTGTTTTTTTCCCTTCCCCTCCACAAATTATACCAACATCAAATACAGTGAAAGCATGGGTTATACCGTGTGTATGTAGGGGCATAGAAAGCAACAAAGAAATCATCTTATAAATATGACATTTGAATCCTTATCTTGGGGTTCATTTCACCTAACATCAACTTATCTGAACTTTCTGCTTGTCTCAGACATATACTAGTTATTGCAAATAAGGGAAACCATGGGACCTATGTTTCTTTGGGCCTGGCTTACTTCACTTAATATAATTTTTTCCAAGTCTTTACATTTCCTAACAAATGGGGCAATGTCTTCTTTCTGATGGAGGCATAGAATTCCATTGTGTATATATACCACATTTTCTTGATCAATCAACCACTGAGGGGCATCTGGGTTGGTTCCATAGCTTAGCTATGGTAAATAATGCTGCAATAAACATAGTTGTGCTGCTAGCTTTAGTATGGTCTTGTTTGTGATCATTTGGGTAAATGCTCAAAAGTGGGATTGCTGGGTCATAGGGGAGCTTTACGTGGAGTGTTTTGAGGAACCTCCATACTACTTTCCAAAGTGATTGAACAAGTTTACACTCCCACCAACAATGCAGTAAAGTTCCCTTCTGTCCACATCCCCTCCAGCATCGAGCTGGTATTTTTTTTTTTTTACTTTTTTTTTTTTTTTTGGTGCCAGTCCTGGTCTTGAACTCAGGGCCTGGGTACTGTCCCTGAGGTGTTTTTTCTTTTTTTTCCAGCTCAAGACTAATGTTCTACCAGTTAAGCCCCAACTCTACATTCAGCTTTTTAAGTGATTAATTGGAAATAAGAGTCTCACAGGCTTTCCTGTTGAGGTTGGCTTTGATTTTCAGATCTCAACCTCCTGAGAAGCTAGGATTATAGGTGTGAGCTCTAGTTGTGTGCCTGGCTTCTGATTTTATTTTGTTGAATAGGTTTTCTATTCCTTTAGCTTGTATTTCTTCTCCTTCCGGTATACCCATGATTTGTAGGTCTTTTGTTTTGATGGCCTCTGAGAGGTCTTTCACATGCCAAGTTATATTTCTTAATATTTTTTCTTAGTCTAATTTGATCTAATTTCTCTATTTTTGATCCCTACTGTACTTTTAATTTGTTCCATTCAGGTAGTAAGGCTTCCACTTTAGGTTTGTTGTTGTTGTTTTGTTTTGTTTTAATTGGGCTTATTGAGCTTTCGTTACCAGGATTCCAGTTTGACTTTTTCCAGAATTTCTAAATCTTACTTGAATTTTTTTTCAGATTCTACATTGATTGCCTTATTTTAATCAATTTTGAAATTTGAATTCTTTCAGCTGTTTCTGTGTATTCTCTGTGAATTCACTCAGATGCTTATACATATCCTGTTTAATTTTGTTGGTCATTCTTATCATTGTTCTTTTAGTTCATGATTTGAAATTTCATCTACTTCAATATTATATTTTGGAATTGTTTACTTTTTTGAAGAGACCAGTTGCCATGTTTTTAAAAAATATTACTTGTATTTCTATGTTGTGATTTATTCATTTGGGGTCGTCATTTGTTGGAAGTTTAATCATCTCTAGTCTTTCAGTTGAACAGTGTAGTAGCCAGGTGAAGTGATGTTTTGTCATCACTGGACTAGGGATATTGCTCAGTAGCTAAGCATTTTTCTAGTGCCAGGCCTGCATTTTTGTACTGTTCAGAGCTAAGTAAATTACCTGGAGTCTTTGTATGAATGTTGGTGTTTACAGTGGACTGCTTTCACTGCAAAGGCTTCTCTTCTTTGTGTGCTGAAGATGTTTTTGGTGGCAGGGAGCTTTAGAGACTGTGGATGGAACAGGTTATCTACTTGCTCCACTGGCCTCCTGGTTTATTTCCTCAGGGATAGCTAGCAGTCAAGCTTGAGGTGATCTACACGTGTGTCAGAGATTGGGAAGAACAAATAGAGTACTTATTTTGCATTATCTGGGTGAGAACTGAGGGACCTAGGTGCTCTTCCTGTTAGTCACAGTGCTCATAGATTCCATCTAACTGTTTATCTCTCTGTGGGAAGGAGGAGGCTATAGAAGTTTTGTGACTCAGATGATCTTGACTTGGACCCTCAGCTCTGACTTTTCAGCAAATAAAAGCCAGGATACAGTTCTCATGGTGGACAAGACTCAGTGCTTTTAGGCCTAGCCTGACAATTCACCTTCCTGTGGGTAGGGAGCAGCCTCTGTCATTAGAAGTTCTGGGCCCAGGACTGATGTATCCAGCAGTCATCAAGCTCATCCACGAGGCAGATCCTGATGCTGAATACTAAGCTTAGTTACAGGCTTAGAGGTTTGTTTCTACTTTATTCTCAGGAACTCATTCTTGACCAGTGAATGTGAGGCTTCCCACCACTGTGGTTTATAACACTGCTGGCACAGTTCTCCATATTTTGACCTTCTCAGGACTACATCTGAAACTCTCACTCTTTTCTCTTTTTTTCTTTTCTTTTTTCTAGATCTGAGACTAGGACTCAAACTCTGTACCTCATGCTTTTGCTCAGTGTTGTACTAACCGAGCCACGCCTTTAACCCCTGAACCTCTTCCACTTTGCTAACACCTTTTATCTCCATACTAAACCCAGTCTGGGACAGCAAATCCAAAGACAATACATGATCATTTCTTGTATTGAAGCTCCTATAGTATCTCATTCTCAAACAATAGGTCTTAAGATGGTGTCTTCTTATCGCCCTCTGAGATAAGGGGAATGACTCTGTCCTCACTTGTCCTATCTTTCTGCAATGGAAACAAATCCTCTACACTGTTTTTAAGGCTTGTGGGAGGGGTTTATATTGCAGAAGGAACTGGCACTCTGTTGTCTGTTTTACCTTCTTATGGCATCTTCAGCTTCCCATCTTCCACCTGGGAAGTCAGTAACTGGCTTGGAATTATTTGATGCTTTTCTTTGTTGATTTCTTGGTATTTTTCTGCCATCATATTACCTCTTTTTTATGATTCTTGGTGCTCTCATTTCTTCTTCAGAACATAGACTCTCCTTTGTTATAGTCTCTTCTTATTTATGGAGTCAAAATGGTAAAGGTTTCTGATCTACCCTCTTGCCTTTCCTAGAGCTTAAAATCTCTCTCTCTCTTTCCTTCCCTCTCCTTTCTCCTGTCTTGTTTTCTTTCTGTCTCCCTACGTCTCTGATCTCTCCTTTCTTTCACCTTATCTCAACTTCTCATCTTCTCTCTCTGTCTCACTCTTTCAACTTTGAGCTTACAAAGGGAAGAGTTTAGAAAGATTTGAGAGACAAGGTAGGTAAGATTCATAGTCTTGGTGAAGAAGACAAATTCAGCTGGATACAGTGGTTTAAGACTGAAATCCAACTATTTAGGGAAGTGGGGGATATTGGGAAGATTATGGTTCTAAGCAAAAAGTTAGTGTATGTGGTGCCCATCTGTAATCCCAGCTGTGCAGGAAGCTTGTGGTAAAACTTTGAGTTCCTATGTGAAAAATAGAACAGAATGAAAAAAGGCTAGGGATGTGGATCAGATGTTATAGCAAGTATAATTTTATAAGTTCAAACCCCAGTACCACATACACAAAAGGTATTTATTTTCAGATAATGAGCTCTAATAGTTATGTACTTCACATGGGTAGGATTGGTTTATTCATTAATGTGTCCAGTCTCTGGTATAGTAAAATCACAGACCTAATAAATCAAATTTTTTACTTATTCCAAGTCTAGTCAGAAGTGTAGCTTCAGAATTTAGCCAATTCTGGAAGCTTATGATCTTTTCTGTGACATTAAAAATCAAACCTTTAACAACAAAAAATTAACCTTCTAGGGTTGGATTTGTTGCTTAGTGATAGGACATTTGCCCTGAATGGATTAGGCTCTGTGTTCAGTCCTAGCATGCCCCCCCCCCGCCCCCGCACACTAATTAGCCCCTTCATAATATTTTTTGAGCTGGGTGCTGGTGGCTCACACATGTAATGCTAGCTACTCAGGAAGCTGAGATCTAAGGATTAGGGTTCTAAACTAACCTGGTCAAGAAAGTCCATGAGACCCTTATCTATAATTATTCACCAAAAAAAAGCCAGAAATGGAGCTGTGACTCAAGTGGTAGAGCACTAGCCTTGAGCAAAAAAGCTAAGGGACAGTATACAGGCCCTGGACTCAAGTCCTTGGACCAATGTGTACATACATACATATATAATACTTTTAGAATAAGTTAAACTTTGTAATATCTGTTTTCATAGTGTTATTGGTTCCTAAGATTTACTACTTTGTCTTTTATAGTGTGTTTTAAGTTCTGTTTTGGTTATTACAAACTTTTTTTTTAAGCTTTGCAGATGTTAAAAGATTTGAACTAAATTTTCTGCTAGCTATAAGTGGAAACAATTTTTTAGTAGGAGATATTAGCCAGATTTTTGCAATGTGATTTGATTTGCACACTGTTACCTGCCTTTTGATAAATGTAACATTTATTCTTTTATACTTAGCTTGTAATGTGTCCTATAAGCAATTCTATCTGTAGTAAAAGCTTTTTTTCTTCTATTTAATAATTTCTGAAAACTCAGTCAAGTTATGTCTCAATTGTTAGCTTTGGTAAGACAATAACTTTTCTCTGTAATTTTTTCAGATTGGAAAAAATGAAATACATAAATTATATAACTGATTATATTTCTAAGTTAAAAAATATGGCCCCTAACCTTTTCTTTTGAGATTTCTCACTTTCTTGTAAAGTTTTTTTCTGCTTCATAGATGTATATGTGAAATATAAAATTAATTGGATAGAAGAAGTATACAATTTTGTCTTAAGCAAGTATGTTTTGTTCTTTTAGGCTGGGAAATGAAGAACAACAACCTGAAGTTCCAATTCTTTATCATGATGTAACATCCCTTTTACTCATCCAGATCTTAATGATGCCTCAACCATTAAGCAAAGGTAAATCTTTATAATTCAGATTCTTAGCTTATATTAGAAGTATTATGGAAATTTTAAGGACCAATAGAACATTCATTCTGACAGATTTTTTGTGATATTAGTAAATTATAATTTAAGAGATGAAATAAAAGCTTTTTTTCTTGTGAACTTATTCTTTGCAGCTTTTTAGTAAGAGGTATGGGAAAACACACCAAAAACTATGTTCTTAAATGTTTGAATACAATAATACAATACAATAATAATACAAATAAGAGTTTGAAAAATAAAGCTTTTGTATTTCAATACAGTAGTAATTGTATTTCTATTTGAAATGTTTGGTGATTTTTAAATACTAAATATTCATAGTATGTTAATAGCATCTTAATTATTGTTCCATAGTCTTCAGGGTTTTTTGTTTTTGTTTTTTGGTTGGTCATTAATAAGCAAACATGATCCTTATGCCAACCCTGTGGATTACTAATTTTTTTTCTGCCAGTCCTGGGACTTGAGTTTAGGACCTGGGCACTGTCCCTGAGCTTCTTTTGCTCAAGGCTAGCCCTCTACCACTTCCAGCTTTTTCAGTGTATGTGGTACTGAGGAATTGAACACAGGGCTTCATGTATACTGGGCAAGCACTCTACCACTAAGTCATGTTCCCAGCCCAGAGTTTTTTAATTTTTTTTTTGTTTTGATTTTTGGGTCTGGTTGTGGGGCCTGAACTCTGGGGCCTGGGTGCTGTCCCTCAGCTCTTCAGCTCAAGGCTAGCGCTCTACCACTTGAGCCACAGTGCCACTTCCGGCTTTTTTTTTCTTTTTGCTTATGTGATGCTGAGGAATCGAACCCAGGGCCTCAGGCATGCAAGGCAAGTGTTCAACCACTGAGCCACCTTCCCAGCCCCGAGTTTTTGAATTTTTGAATTGTAAGATTCCTGTACTAATGTATGCCATTTAGACAATTGTGAATTGGAGTGACATTTAGAATTGTCATAATGTGCTATTGTCATCATTATCCAGTATGAGAATATTGAATGAACTCAAAAGAATCTAACTTTACATGCAGTCAGTGATTCCTCATTTTCTAATTCAGTTATTTTAGAATGTTGCTTTTCTTAGGTTTGATTGTATCTGTGAATTTAATCATATAAATTTGTAAATATTAAACCTAGGAACAACCTCATTGATTTTTGATTTTTATCTAAAAATCTAATTCAGCTTCAAGTTTATGTGTGTGTGTGTGTGTGTGTGTGTGTGTACCCACTTTAGGTGGTTTTTCCAGAGCTTAGGAGAACAGTTGCCTGGTGGTGATAGTAGCTTACCTATAGATTTTGTTCTTCTAATAAAGCAGATGTATTACATTTTGAAATAAAAAGTTATTTTGTTTCATCCCTTCAAAATATTTTAGATTTTTAAAAAATATGCCTTGTACCTAAAAGCATAGTAATCACTTAAATCTTAAAAGCTAAAGGGGAAAAATATTTGACATATAGAAGGAATTTTATATTTATAATAAGCATATAATGATGAAAATATTTCAGTTAACAGTGAAAGACTTGTTATGTGAATGGTTAGGGACTATAGCAGCACATCATTGTCAGAAAGGAAGTGTTTATCCTTGCTTTCAACAGCAGATAGTGCAGAAAGGGGTTATAATACACTAAAATATCTAAACTTGGAGTTTAATTCAGTAGAAACAGCAGCTAAAGTTTTACTCCAAAATGAGTCAAGAAAATTGGTCTCTTTAACTTGATGATGTTTAAGTGAATTGAATAGATTCTGGACAATTTCTGTGTAAAACTTTATAATGCTAATAAAGTAATATAATAGATTTTATTTTTTATTTTATTATTTTTGTGTGTGTGTGCTGGGAGGAATTTGTTCAAGAGATAGCATTTTAACCAAGCAAGCAAGGTGAACAAGTTCAAGGCCTTTCTTGAGTTCAAACCTTAGTGCTGGGCCCCCCAAAAAAGAGTTTTAAAAAAATCTTTTGGACAAATTTAATAGGCAAATGTTTACTTAGTTGTAAACATTGTCTGATTCAAGAAATAGTTAATGACTACATACTATGTACCAGTTTGATGGTAGAAATACAAATATGAACAAAGCATGCACTTTGTCTCTGTAGATCTAAATAGTTAAGAACTTAGCTTTAAGAACTTAAATTTATCTGTAAATTACTCTTAAACCCTGCTCTTTTTATTTTTTTTTTTAACTTCACAGTAGGTGGAGTTGATATCTATTTTTTTTTTTGGGTCTGGTCATGGGGCCTGAACTCTGGGCCTGGGTGCTGTCCCTCAGCTCAAGGTTAGCGCTCTACCACTTGAGCCACAGTGCCACTTCCGGCTTTTTTTTTCTTTTTTTGCTTATGTGGTGCTGAGGAATCGAACCCAGGGCCTCAGGCATGCAAGGCAAGTGCTCTACCACTGAGCCACCTTCCCAGCCCAGAGTTGATATCTATTTATATTAGCTTTCCATTTCTAGGACAAAATAACTGCTGTATTCTAATAAGTTTGTCTTTACTGGTGAATTGGTATTTGTCTCTTATATTTTTCTTTCCTTTTCAGCCTGTCCAATGTTTAATAGTCTTGTCTGTTTGAAGTCTTCACAGCCTCCTGAGACTCTGCCTCACACCTTGATCATTTTAATAATTATTTGTTATAATCCTTTGAGATTTTCTTCATTAACATTAGTGTTTGTTACAGTGGAATTTTTGAGAGTTTATGTTGACTTGAGAGTTTCCCCCCACCCCCTATATTTGTTGTGGTTCTGTTTGGGAACATCTGAGGCTAAGTTGTTGGCTGAAAGTTTCAATTACATGTAGTAAATATTTACAGTGTACAAGGAGCACAGTGTACATGGTAAGGTGCTACTTCTTACCACAGTAACTAAGCATTCAACTAGTGCTAAAGGTACTGAATCTGATCTCAGATTGAAAAAAACCATAAACTTACCTGGATTCTTTTGTAGAAGGGCCTAAAGTAGTCTATTTCTAGGCTGCTTTCACTATAGCAGCATCTCTTCTTTGTTTACTAGGAACTTTATAGTTGTGGGCTTAGATAAATTTCCACCCCTACTTTCCTTAGTGTGTGTCCTGCACTAGCTGAGGAAGAACTGAGGGACCTAAGTGTCTGTCTACTGATTTATGTTTATAGACTCTATCCAGCAGTTTACTTTCCTGTGGATGCCAGGGTGAGCAGAGGCTATAAAAAGAAGTCACATTCTGTACTCAGGGCCTTATTCTTGCCTGAATGTAAAGATCTACCAGGATACAGTTCATAGAGTTATGTCCCAGTGCTTTCTGATTCTTCCCAACAGTTCATCTCCCTGTTGGGGAAAGTGGCTATGGAAATTAGGGTTTTTAGACCTACCTTAAGGCAAACTCATTCAGGGATATGGGTGGTAGGGGGAGAAGCAACTGTGGCTATCAAATGCTTTGGAACATCTTGTCTCAGATCCATCTAGCATTTAACATAGGCAGCCCATTAGGCAGTCCCCCCGAGGAATACTATACCAGCAACAGGGTTCATATGTTTGTTTCTGCAAGGACTTTCTAGCAATTGTATTTGTTCCTACCAGGGAAATCAGGGCCCCTAGCCACCACAACCTTTGTTGCTGGAGCTCCCTGCTGCTTGAACTTTTCTGAGTGACCGTGTCAGATCATCTCCCTCTCCATGAACACCTCTTGTAGCCATCTTCCACCCAGACACTGTGGCCACGTGTTTCATCACTTTTTTGAGCTATGCTTGTTCCTTGTTTTGAAATTCCTAGAGTATCTCAAACAATTATCCTTCTCAAAATGGTGAAGAATAAATCTGTACATGTTCAGCATAAACAAAATATCTTTCCAAGTATTTCCTGTCTTTAGTTGATTGATTTTATAGCTGCCAATCTGTGATAAAGAGGAATAATTATAATGTATCATCTTACTTATTTATGGAATCTGTGAAAGTCAGACTCATAGAAATAAGTAGAAAAGTGGTAACCGAGGGTCAGGAAGGTGTGAGGAAATGGAGAAATGTTAGACAAATGGTACAAACTTATATTCTAGGTTCAGACTACATTTACATTATATATGCTATATTCATTTTATTTTAAGTACACTATTTTATAGCACTATGTAGTATACTTGGAATTTGTTAAGAAAGAAAGCATATCTTAAATATTCTTACCACACATATTCAAAAGTAGCTTTGAGATTATGGTTATGTTGATCAACTTGACTGGACTGTCATTTTACAGTGTTTGTTTCAAAATATCATGCTATAAAGTTTCAACATATGTAATTCTTGTAAATTATACCTCAAGAAAGCTGGGGAAAAATTAGTCTGGCCTTAACAAAAAAAAAGATTTTTGGGGGTTAAGAGGTAATGAAGATAAACTACTATGCAAAAAAGAATTAACACAGAAGGCCTAGCTGTGTGCTTGGGTCTTCAAGGAGTTTGGATTTTTGAAAGCAGACTACTGTTCTCAGAATTAATAAGAATAGCTCACTGTACCTAGACTGTACAAACTATGTAGTTCATGCTGAACATACCTGTGTTCTTTCTGAGGGTGTGGAGTTTGGGTACATGCTAATTAGAGGGAGCCTAATTGACCTGCGTCTGACAAAAATGGTGAGAACTAAGCCTCATAATCTTTTACACACTTTTTCATAGATTGTTGCTTGGGGGAATTAAGCATAATCTGTGAAATGGTACTGGAAGAAAATTCTGAAAATTCTTCTGGACTTCACCCAATGTACTTTTTTCTTTTGCTTCTATTAACTTTTATCATTCTACTGCCATCAGTACAGTAGTCCTAAGTATGAGTATATACTGAGTTTTTAAGAGTTGATTGCACTACATTGCATACTTGCTTAGAAATGCACAATGAAACTCCTTTTGTAAAACTAATATAAACTAAAAAAAATACTATAAGTCATTAAACCTGGACATAGTATTGGAGGCATAACTAAACCATTTAGGTTTTGTTACAGAATCCTTAGGCCAGAATTACAGATTTCAGCAAGAAGGGACGAAGTCTGGTTCAAGTTGTTGGAACTAATGAGAGTGATTTAAAATGAATTCACAAGAGCTAGTGATTATTTTAGCATGAGGAGAGAGACAAGAAAATCTCAAAATGTCTACAAACTTCTCGCTCCAGTAACTGACTTAAATGGAAATATCTATTTCCTAGGTGAGCAGTACAGTATTATAGAAGAAATACTGAATTAGAAGAAAAACCATCTACACAGAGTTAAGTTTAGAATTGTGAGTGCTAATAGCTTTGATTGTTGATTGATTTATTTTTTAGAGATAGGGGCTTGCTATATGTAATCAAGCTGAGTTGAAACTTGAAATTCTCTTGCCTCAGACTCTTGAGTGCTGGAGTTTTAAGTGTCAACCACACTTAGCTCTCTGTAAGATTTGTCTCTTATTAGGGGTAGACAATATGTTGATCTTAAACACTGAGGCTCCCAAACGTTGTTATTGGTACCTGCAGCTCATTTAGGGGATTTGCGACAGCTCCATGGGTATTCCAGTTGGAGCACTAGCTCTTTGGTCTTCCAAAAAAGCATACTTTCTACTCTGTGTTTCTCACTAACGTATTTCTGTTATGTATAGGGGAACTTTGTTTTCATAACTTCAAATCTGGAGGATCACAAATATAATGTCATTTATTAATTACTTAAATGTTGAAAATAAATTACACATGCAAAGAAAGGCATATATTAGTTTATAAAATGTCTAGATTTCAAAGAAGTAATGATGTTCTTTTTCCCTTATAGAACACTTCACCTGTATTGTGAAGGTGCTTTTTACCTTACTGTATACACAGGCTCTTACGGCACTTTCAGTTAAATGCAGTGAGGAAGATAGGTCAGCCTGGAAACATGTTGGATCTCTTAAGAAGGTTAGTCTCCTTTTTGATTCATCACTTACTACTTTGGGAAACTTGTTTAGGTTGGGGATATTAGTAAATGAGAGTAGGCATTTGATTCTACATTTTTTGTATGTTTTGTTTTTGCTGTGATGGGTTGGACACAAGGCCTTGTACGTGCTAAGCAAGCACTGTACCGCTGAATTACACTTGCAGACCAAGAGTAGGTTTATGAAAGACAATGTGAGTTAATAGTATTTTAATTGTAAATGGAACACCTTTAGGCTAAAATAATTTAAAATGTTTTCTTGTACAATTAGGTCTTCTTCATCTGTCTCTAAACTTGGCCTTTATCTGTTTAAATTTGGGTAGTTTTGTTTTTTCTTTTTCTGCAAACAAACTTTGAGAAAGTTACTAAGTAATGAGTATGTAATCTTAGCATTTAGGAGGCTGAGGTAGAAGGATCACAAGTTTGAGGCCAATCTAGATTACATAGCAAGACCATTTTTCAAAAACAAAAAGCCAGTGTACTGAGAACGTACAATGTTTGCAGACTTAGGCTTTTTTTTTTTTTTTTTTTTTTGGGTCCGGTCGTGGGGCCTGAACTCTGGGCCTGGACACAGTCCCTTAGCTCTTCAGCTCAAGGCTAGAGCTCTACCACTTGAGCCACTTCCGGCTTTTTTCTTTTTGCTTATGTGGTGCTGAGGAATCGAACCCAGGGCCTCATGCATGCAAGGCAAGCACTCTACCACTGAGCCACCTTCCCAGCCCCTTTAAATACTTTTTTACAAAAGTATTAGAATGTAAGATCTAGACATATCCAAAGGAATTGTCTTTAAATTATATCAACAATTTAGAAAAATTGTGCAAACTTAGTTAAGTGCAAATTTATTTATTTATTAGTTATTTAGTTATTTTGGTTGCTTGTGGGGCTTGGGTGCTGTCCCTGTGCTTCTTTTGCTCAAGACTAGAGCTCTACCACTTGAGCCACAGTGCCACTTCTGGCTTACTCTGAGTAGTTTATTGGAGATAACAGTCTCAGGGACTTTTCTGCTTGGGCTAGCTTCAGATCTTAGTCTCCTGAGTTGCTAGGATTACAGGTGTGAGCCACCAACTCCAGGCAAATTTAAATATTTTTAGTGGTTTGAGAATAAATGAAATGTGGAATCAAAGAAATGACCAAGTGGTTTGGCTTAGAGATGAGTAAAGGAAAAAAAATTAGTCTTTATTTAGAAAAGTTAAGAGAAAATAGTATTATGTGCAACTTTGATAAGTTCAGTCTTAAAGGGTTTTAAGCTTTATTGAAAATTTCTTTTTAAAATCTTTTCTAAAGCTTGTTTCAAAGGAGAGAGATCCAATTATAAATACATGAAGTAAACGTTCAATATAGCCTTCACTTTATCACTAATTTACTCTGAAATTGGAATTATATGTTCAGCAACTTAACATATAATCATCACAGAGTACATAAGGGATATTGTTGACCATCATACCCAGTTATAAGGCCAGTCTGCCACTGAGTACAGCTGTTAACTTTTTCTTTTTTTTTTTTTTTACGAATAAATAAAAATCATCTAAGCCTTAGCTTTCTTGAAAACAAATGAGACATTTGGACCATATATATAAATAAGGGCCCCTCTGTAAACTGTGATTCTAGATTTGTAAAACTGACTGCTGTCTTTTTATTTGTTTATTTTGTTGGTCATGGGGCTTGGACTCGGCCTGGTCATTGTCCCTGAACTTTTTCACTCAGGCTAGTACTCTACCACTTTAAGTCACAGCTCCACATCCAGTTTTCCTGGGCTGGCTTAGAACCGAGATCCTTAGATCTCAGCCTCCTGAGTAGCTGGGATTACAGGTGTGAGCCACCAGTGCCCAGCCTGTCTTCTTCCTTTTTTTTTTTTTTTTTTTTTTGTCAGTTGTGGGGCTTGAACTCAGGGTCTTGGTGCTGTCCCTGTGCCTCTTTGTGCTCAAGGTTAGCAACTCTACCACTTGAACCACAGTCCCACTTTCAGTTTTTGAGTGGTTAATTGGAGATAAGAGTCTCACAGGGACTTTTCTGCCTGGACTGGCTTTGAACTGCAATCCTGAAATCTTAGCCTCTTAAGCAGTTAGGATTACAGATATGAGCTACTGGCGCCTGGCTCTTCTTGAATGATCTTTTTTTCCCTCGTCCTGATTAATTCTTGGATAACTTTGCCTATTAAAATTGTCTTTCTCCTTTCTATGTATTCTTTCATTTTTCTATATACAATTTGATATTTGGATTATTGGTATTCAAGTAGAATTCAAATCAAGTATATTAAATGTTTATGTTGTATTGTTTTTTTTTTGTAAACTGCCTATAAAAATTAGACATTTTAAACTTGTTTAGTAATTGGGCCTAAACTTACTCATTTGAGTGTTTGCTAAAGTGAGAACTTTGTGGCAAAATTAAGCAATTATAAATGTTGGATGGAAGGAACATGATGCTATTTAGGTAACTGTCCGATAAGCTTTTCCTCAATTTCATAATGGATAACTACTGGGAAAACACTTAATAAAATAGTCACTGTGAGGCATGCTGTCATTGGACTTAAATTTTAGAGCTATATTATCTTATAGATATATAAATTAATGAGTGAAGGCAAAATTATTATGGTTGGTTTGCTAAATGTTATTAACGTTTTCTTAACAATAGATCTAAACACTTAGCAGATTGTAACTAATATACATCACTATAATAAATGACATACATTATTGGGATTAAGTATGATTTTTGTCTACATAACTTCTTTTATTTTTTATTTTACTCCTCTCTCACCCTTTCCTTTTCTTTGTGGAGTCATACTCATTTATTCAGTCATCATAATTTTTTATACTTAGGTATGGTAATTATAATGAAAAGTTATTTTTGCCAAATGTAGTCTAGTTCTTTTTATGTTGTAAACATTTTTCCACACAGTTCAAATTTGTTATATTCATTACCTTTGTAATATTTTTATTGAATTGCTGTTCCATAATTTAGATAACTTCCTCTTTGGGAACAAGTGGTATTGGCCTGTCCTTGTCAGGCAGGTGCTCTAACAATTAAACCATATCACTCCTACCTCTTTTTTCTGCAGTTATTTTTAAACTGGGTCTCACTTTATTTCCAAGACAGCCTTTGCTCAAGATGCTCCTAATTATGTCTTCCGTATAGCTGAGATCTACAAGCTTATGCCACCATGATTGATTTCTTTGTCAAAATGAAGTCTAGCTAACTTTCCCTTTTTTAGTCGGGGATGAAATCAAACTGTAATCCCCATGAGCTCTGCCAAATAGCTGGAATTATAGGCCTAAGCCACTGCACCTTACTAGCTGCCTTAGTTTTGTTGGTTATTGCTGATTTTCTTGTTCTGATAATGCTATAATGAATGACTTGTGCATATAGCTTCCTCATTCCCCCTTTTTGGATTATTTCCTTAAAATGAATTCGTAGCATTGGAAATTACAGGTTCAAAAGCATGATTCATATATACAGTGTAATCTATTACCCGTGTTGAAGTATTAGAATCATTTTGACTGTCTGCTCAACTTCACTGTGAATCTAGAAATAAATTTCTTGGTTTTGTTACCTATGTTTAAAACTGAAGTTCATATGTTGGAGATATATATATATATATATATATATATATATATCAGTTTTATTTATTGTAAACTATTATTTACAATGAAACTTTTTATAATTTTAAATGACCAATGGAACTAATATTCCAATTTTTTCACCCAGAATACATGTGATGCAGAAAAGTCTTACGAGGTGTTACTCAGCTTTGTTATAAGTGAACTATCTAAAGGAAAATTATACCATGAAGAAGGAACTCAGGAGTGTGCAATGGTATGCTTGTGCTAAGGTCACATAAATAATGTCTATTAAGTAAAGTTTAGATTTTTTTTTGTATGTCTATTATAGAATGAATTGTTGACATTTTCTTTTTTAAATTTAGGTTAGTCCTGTTGCTTGGTCTCCAGAGTCCATGGAAAAGTACTTGCAGGACTTTTGCTTACCGTTCCTCAGAATCGCCAGCCTTCTTCAGCACCACCTTTTTGGGGAAGATTTACTTAGTTGCCAGGTATAATTTGGGGTAGAGAGTAGGGAACCTTGTTTTTGCAGTAAGCTACTTTTGTGAATTATACTCATGTGTAATATATTTGTATTTATATGTATATACAAGTGTTATTTGAGTATACATTAGTTTAGCTCAAAAATATTTAGAATATTTACTTTTTCTTTTCTCTTTTTGTCAGTCATGGGGCTTGAACTCATGGGCTGGACTCTGTCTGTGAGCTTTTTTTTGCTCAAGGCTAGTGCTCTACCACTTTGAGCCACAGTGCCACTTCTGATTTTCTGGTGGTTAGTTGCTTGGGCTGGCTTTGAACTGTGATCCTCGGATCCCAGCTTCCTAAGTAGCTAGGATTACTGGCATGAGCCACAAGCTCCCAGCTTAGAATATTTACTTTTTGTGTATTAATATTCACCAATTTCTATGATAATATTAACGGATACTTCGACAGTTTTGGATCAAATCAATGATAATTGGTGCTCAATACTTGAATAGTATCATAGTGTTTAGGCTATTAGTTTTATTATTATCCTTACTTTTAATATTCTTTTAAAAGTTAAATTGTTCAGAACACTTTGTTAAAAGTTGTTTTAGCATTTATGTAATTTGTTGTTGTTGTTGGTCCTGGGGCTTGAATTCTGGGCTTGGGTGCTGTCTGTGCACTCTTCAGCTCAAGGCAAGCGCTCTACCGCTTGAGCCACAGTGCCACTTCTGGTTTTCTAGTGGTTTGTTGGAGATAAGAGTCTCACAGACTTTCCTGCCTGGGCTGGCTTTGAACCGTGATCCTCAGATCTCAGCCTCCTGAGAGGCATGAACCATCGGCGCCTGGCCCTTTATGTAATTTTTATGGCTGTGTTAGTTATTTCTGGTTTAACCTGTTTCATAGAAATGTGGCAAAGGGAATAAGTAGATAAATGTGTTGGAAACCAGAAGGTAAGTAAGCCCAAAATATTCCCATGGAATAAAATTCCAATACTGTGTACCACTTGATTCCAGGGAATTCAGTATACCTCCAATATATTCATGGTCTTTAATGTCTGAAGAATGTAAAAATTAAACAGCCTTTTTATTCCTTGTGTCTTAAGCAATTGACCATTATGTTGAATAGTTTGGTTCTTTTGTTTTTATTCAGTACTACAAGATAGACTGAACACTTGTCACCAAAATATTCTATTTACAATAAGATGTTGAACAACGGAAGTGGCACTATGACTCAAAGCCTTGAATGAAAAAGCTCAAGGACAGGCTGTGAGTTCCAGCCCCATGATCAACACCACCCTTCCAACCCTCCCCCGGCCCCGAAAAAAAAAAAAAAAAAACTTGAACAAATTTAAAATGGCCATTAGATATTTTCTTTCATGTTTTTTGTTTTGGTTTTTGATTTAAAAATTCATATTTCCTTTACATATAAACATCTTTAAACATGAAGACTGCCCAAATAAAATCAACATCTCCAAGTGGTAGAACACTAACCTTGTGCAAAAAACACTTAGGCACAGTGCCCAGACCCTGAGTTCAAGCCTCAGGACTGGCACAAAACCACAACAAAAAAGGATGGGAGGCTCTATTCTTGCTACTTTATGGCTTATGTTACTTGTTACTTGTCTCTAAACTGCAAACTTTTTTACTGGAGGCAGAAATTCTTGAACTGAGCATTGAAAGTTGGTTTGGGCTTTGAGTATTCATTGAACCCTGTACTGGAAAAGGAATTGTGGGGCTGGGAAGGTGGCTCAGTGGTAGAACGCTTGCCTTGCATGCCTGAGGCCCTGGGTTTGATTCCTTGGCACCACATAAGCAAAAAGAAAAAAGCCGGAAGTGGTGCTGTGGCTCAAGTGGTAGAGCGCTAGCCTTGAGCTGAAGAGCTGAGGGACTGTGTCCAGGCCCAGAGTTCAGGCCTCACGACCGGACCCCCCCCCAAAAAAAAAAAAAAAAAAGAAAAGAAAAGGAATTGTGGTCTTAAGCCAAGAAAGAAATATCTTTGTGTTGGGTGCATGAAGCTTTTGTAAAAATGATATCAATTTAAAGATACAGAAATTTTGACTTTGAATGTGTAAAGCTAAATATGCAAGCTTTACTTCAGAAGATACAAGTCTTTCTGAATGGTAAGAAGACTTATAGGTAAACGTATACAACAACAAGGGAGAGTAATTATTTTCCATTTATAGGGAACAACAAAACAGTGATTGAAGGATAAAGTTAGAGAAATCTTAGTAGTTGAAATTAAAAAGAAGCTGTAATCCACAGAAAGACTTTTATATAAGTGTTTTTACAGCCTAATTCATAATAATGAAAAGCCATCCCAGAATGAATGTATGAACAAAATACAGTCTATCTATATAGTAGAGTATTCAGTGATTAAAATGAAGAGGGGGAAATGCAGACAAGAATCTAATGTATATCCTATAAAATTAAGAAGAGTGGGGGAAGGGATGGGTAGGAGAGAGATGGGTAAAAATGTTGAAAAGGTGAATTGATCAAGATATATTGTACTCATAAACAGCTTTGTTAAGTAGCAACTCCTTTATATAACTACTTAAAGATAGCAATAAAATTAAAAATAACATGAATAAATGTCAAAATATTACTGAAAGTGGAAGAGGCCAGGCACATTTATGCATAGACTGTGTACACAAAGAATATATATTGTATGATTCCATTTAAATGAAAAAATGTAAAGAATCAAAACTACAGTGGTAGGAAAGCTATTGTTTGGAGCATTAATTTGAATTATTGTAGTGGTAGTTTCATTGCTACATATATACCAAAATTCATCAAAGTACACCTAAAACATATTTTATGGCATAAAATATTTCTCAGTAAGTAGCTTTTTAAAAATACTTTTTTGGAGAAAAAAAACGCCAGAATTAGTGCTGTGGCTCAAGTGGTAGAACACTAGCCTTGAACTGAAGAGTTGAGAGACAGCGCCCAGGCCCAGAGTTCAGGCCCCATGACCGGACCCAAAAAAAACAAAAACAAAAAACAAGAGCTAGCTGGGCACCAGTGGCTCATGCCTATAATCCTACCTACTCAGGAGGATGAGATGTGAGGATTGCAGTTCAAAGCCAGTCTGGGCAGGGAAGTCTGTGAGATTCCTTTCACCAGTTAACCACCAGAAAACCAGAAGTGGCTCTATGGCTTAAGGGGTAGAATGCTGGCCTTGAGCTAAAGAGCTCAGGGGCAGAGCCCAAGCCCAGAGTTCAAGCCTTACGACTGACCAAAAAAAAAAAAAAAATCTGTGAATTCCTGGAAAAATACTTTTTTGGAGGTCTTGGGGCTTGAACTCAGAGTCTGGGCGCTGTTCCTGAGCTTTTGTGTGTGAGGCTAGTGCTCTACCATTTGACCCACAGCTCTACTTTTTTTGGCTTTTTTGGTAGTTACTTGGAAAAAAGAGTCTTAAGGACTTTCTTGCCCAGGCTGGCATAATCTCAGCCTCCTGAGTAATTAGTATTAGAGATGTGAGCCACCGGCTCCTGGCAATAACTTCTTTATATAGCATACAAATGAAGGATTTGTAGCCTCATTTCTAGAGATTAAAAAAAATAACATCTTTTTCAGTCTGCATATCATTTTGCATTCATTCATTTATTCATTTGCTTATTAAGGATTGAATTTAAGGCCTTGAACTTGTTAGGCAGATGCTGTACCACTTGAGATACCCTGCAATTCCTTTCTGTGTTGGCTGTTGTTTTTCTGTGTATGCCATGGCTGGAGCTTGACGTCAGGTCAGAGCATTGTCTCTTAGCTTTTGTTTTGTTTTGTTTTGTTTTGTTTTGGGGGGGGGTCCGGTCGTGGGGTCTGAACTCTGGGCCTGGGCACTGTCCCTCAGCTCCTCAGCTCAAGGCTAGTGCTCTACCACTTGAGCCACAGCGCCACTTCTGGCTTTTTACTTTTTGCTTATGTGGTGCTTAGGAATCGAACTCAGGGCCTCAGGCATGCAAGGCAAGCGCTCTACCACTGAGCCACCTTCCCAGCCCCTGTCTCTTAGCTTTTTTTGCTCAAGGCTACTACTAGAACCACAGCTTCACTTCCAGTTCTTTTGATTTGTTAATTGGACGTAAGAGCCTCATGGAGTTTCCTGCCTGGGCTGCTTTGAACTGAGACTTTCAGCCTCTCCATTGAGTAAATAGAATTACAGATATGAGCCATTGTTGCATGGCTTGTGTTGGTTATTTCTGAGATAGACTTTCACTTTATGCCTGGGCTAGCCTGTCCTGAGCTGCAGTCTTTCTGTTTGTTTCCCTGTGTTGCTGGAATGACACAGGTCATGTCACCACCCCCAGCCATGGTTGAGATGAAAACTCAAAACACCTTTCTCCAGCTTGGTGCAGGCGGCTCTCACCTATAATCCTCACTACTCAGGAGGCTGGGATCTGAGGATAGTGGTTCAAGGTTGGTTCCTGACAACCCTGGGCAGGAAAGTCCGTAAGACTTTTCTCTAATCACAGAAAAAGCCAGAAATGGCACTGTGGCTCAAATAGTAAAGTGCTGGCCTTGAGCAAAGGGAACGCAGCAGTAGCACCTATGTCTATTATTTTTATTATTATAAAATATACAAGTAAGAAAAAAGTATTTACAAGGTATTTACAACTACAAAAGGATTAATTTTATTTGAATGAGTACAGAATGAGAGAATAGTAGGAATTGAACAAAGGAGAAGTGATACACTGGTTGACCTACTATATAGCCTTTAGTGAGGAAAGAACATTGGAGAACCTATGTTTTGTGTTTATTATACCAGTTCTTTGAAAGTAAACTTAAAGAGTTCTTATACTACTGCCATCTTTGATTTTTATTAGTGAATAGGCCTTCAAACTTACTGGCTCTTAGATCTTTCTTAATACTTAAACAAAAGCTGCAATCCCTATTTTTTTTTTGACTGACTTTATGTTGTACTCAGCCAGAGACCAGGCAAGTTATTAAGTGCTGCCTCTTTTGAATTCCATGTTATTAGTGGTCCTTTTTCTTTTTTTTTTTTTTAAGCATTGATTAAACAGGACCTTGGATGAGCTAGGCAAGCATGTCCATTGAAGTATATCCCCACTGTTTTCTTTTTATTTTTATCTTTTTGCTGGTGCTGGGGCCTAAACTCAGGACCTCCTGTTATTGCTTGGCTATTTATTTGGAGATAATAGTTTCTCAGATTTGTCTGCCTGGGCAGGCACCAAACTGATTCTAAGATCTCAGCTTCTTGAGTATCAAGGATTATAACAGACATGAGCCACCCTCACCTGATACCTGATCACTACTATTTTTTTTTTTTGAGAGAGAGTCTCTGCTTATAGCTAAAGGTAGCCCAAATTTGCTGTGTAGCCTGGTTGGCCTCAAACTCAACATCTTCCACCTCTCAAAGGTCAGAGATTACACATGTATATCACTATACTCAATTCTACCTATCCTTTTTAAGCTTTCACCTTGGCCTATAGTAACTTCACTTTTCTGTCATAGTGCTGTTGCATAATTTCTACTGCGTAGTGTAAACTGTATTTAAAAATTAAAAAGTAGTGTATAAAAGAAGCAAATGCCATGCCACTTAGAAAGTAAATTTCAATGAAAAATATTTTGGGGATAGTTGGATGTAATAGTTAAGAATCTTTTTTTTTCTTCTTTGCTATTTCTCTTAATTCCCTTCACTTTTTCTTAGTTGATTCAGAATTATTTCTTAAGAAAGGTGATTGATGAGAATGACAAATAAATTACCTATAATAGAAAATATTTTTAGTGAAGTATCTTCAGAATTTTCTATTTCATGTCTAAAAGGAAGAAGAAGAGTTCTCCGTCCTTGCCAGCTGCCTGGGCCTTCTGCCAGCATTTCACCAAGCAGAACGTCCTTTCATCACTGCCTCCTGTCTGCACTGGCCAGTTCCAGCACTGGACCTTATAACTCAGTGGTGTTTTGAGATAAAATCATTTACCGAAAGACATTCAGAACAAGGGAAGGTATGTAAAACAAGCGTACTCACTTGGCAACAATAGTGATACACTAATAAGAGAATAATGAAGAATTTTAAAGTTCAGATCACCTGTGCTTGGGAACATTTATGAAACTGAAAACCTGGTTACTTGAATTTCACTTATGAGTGTAAAAGCAGAACCATTTTAATAATGATGAAATATTTATTGTTATTTTTAGCTTTAGCTGAGCAGACTTGAATTCCTAAATCATAGCACTACACCTGGAAGATTCAAACATTAAGATTAATAAGGAACTTGCGTTCTTTCTGCAGGAGAACTTTGTTGTGTACTTGAACTAGAAAATCTAAAAGATCACACTTGAACTCAGGGCCTGGGTGCTGTCCATGATCTTTCTGCTCAAGGCTAGCACTGTATCACTTAGCCACTACTTGCTTATCTGATGAAAAGGTTTATGTTGGAGATGAGTAAATTGAAAATAGAGTGTGGGCAGGAGTAGGGTGCTGTGATGCCTTGGTTTGGTGCATGCTTGTTTTCTATGGATAGAACTGAAGTTTTTGAGAAATGAAGTAATATGATGAAGGTACTATTTTAGGGAGAAGGAAGATGATGAAGATACTATTTTAGGTGAAAGGAAGAGATTGTTGAAGTAGTGGAGAAAAATCTGGATCATTTTTTTGATAGTAAAACTTAGTAATTGAAATGAGACATTTGAAAAAAATATATAGGACTTGATAACCAGATGAACATGACTTTAAGATTTTGAGCGGAAACATGAAAACAATGACTAGCTGTGCTTGGTGCTTTCTCGTTATTTTTGCATAACCTGAAAGGATCTTTAACCATTTTGCTTTGTTTCCATCCTCATTTGGTAACACTCCTTTGCCACTACCATGATCAAATCACAAAAGAATGTTTACAAGTATACTCCGCCTTCGAAACTTGTGTAGTATTTCTTTTGGTATTACTTTTATCTAAAGCAACCTTCTTACCCTTTTGTTGAATTCACCACTCTTCAATGCTTTGCCAATATGAATATTATATCTTCTGTGAAGATTGGTCTGAATGAAAGTCCATCTTCCTAGATAGTCCGAACCCTCTCCCTTAGTAGTACTAACAGACTGTATTTCTGTCACTTTCTTTAACAATTAACATATCATTTTTTTTCCTTCAGTGCTAGAGATTGCATACACTGTTTCATACATATGCTGAGCTATACCTAACACTAACACACTAACACTGAGCTATCACTCCAGCCCTGTTTATCACATTTGTTTCTTGAATATGTCTAAACAAGGCTTCAAATACCAGAATTCTTGAACCATTAGTTTTTAGAAAATGCCTGGCACAGACTTATCATCTAATAAATATTTCTTGAACTAGTAAATGGTAGGATGTTCTCACCGGCAGAAGTACAACTGATGAAAGCTAAGTTTCAGAGAAAACGAGAATTTTAATTTTAAACATCAAAGGAACAATAATAAAAATTAGCATTTTAGCCAGGCACTAGCGGCTCACACTTGTAATCCTAGCTACTCAGGAGTGTGAGATTTGAGGATCATAGTTTTTTGGTTTTTTTTTAAGAGCCAGTCTGGGCAGAGAAGTTCAAGAGACACTGGCTCTAGGTATTCTCTCTTAGCTTTTTGTTTTAAGGCTAGTCTTCTACCGCTTGCCACAGTTTTCTACTTCCGGCTTTTTGCTGGCTAATTAGAGATGAGAGTCTTATGGACTTTTCTGCTCAGGCTGGCTTCAAACCTTGATCCTTGGACCTCAACTTCCCGAGTAGCTAGGATTGCAGGCATGAGCTACAAGGGAAGGGAGGAGGCTCAGTGGTAGAGCAGTTGCTTGGCATATGCAACACCCTGGTGTGAGGATCCTGGAATAATCAGATGATATTTAGATTTTGAATTTAGCCAAATTGTTATTATATCCCCAACAAGAGGGTATAATTGATATTAAAAGCACAAGAGAGTCCAGTATATCCAGCTTAACACTGAAGCAGAAAGTTAAAACTGAACTTTATGCCTCCAGCTTCCCAGACTTGTACTGTGAAAAAGAAAGACCATTTATACAGGTTACTATTTTGCCCCACGCTGGCATCATCTAGAAATTCATTAGCTCAATAGTTAGTTTTTTCAGATGATTGAGTGTAAAGATTAGAGAATCCATAAATATCCATGTGCTACTTTACATCTCTCTTTATAAAGGGAAATGACTTGATTAGAGACTTAGTCTACAAGGCCTAATCTACAATAAGTGATAGTGGGGACAAGTTGCTATCCCTCTGCTTAATGGCAGGGTTCTGGTGTAATCAGCTCATTGCAGAATGCTTTCTTTAGAGCCCAGGGTTGGGCATTAAATGTCTACAAGTAGTGTATTTTATTTTAAGCCATACATCATTCTTATCCTTGCTTCCATGGCTGCTTTATCTGTGAATTCATTGATAAACAGCAAACTAGCTCCTTAGTTGTTTCTATTCAGTTACGCTGATTATGTGTGGTTGTAAATGAAGACAGTAGAAATTGCCAATCACTTATAGTTTCTTAATAGACTCATACACTATTTACCTATTTTGTAACCTCTAGAAAAAATTACACTATTACTAGCATTTTTATACAACTAAATAGTAAATAAAGTGTGCCCAAAGGGAAATATAACTAGTTATTTTTTATACTTACAACAAGAAATTTATTTTAAAATTATAGCTCTAGCATTTATGGATACAAATGAATTTAAAAGGTTGAAATGTAATGAGTTTTATATACTTTAGGGAAGAGATTCTAAATTAAGAAATATTGAGATAGAAATGATGAATTATAACTCTTTCACTAAAGTAAAAGCTCATTAATTGTTTAAGAAAGGCCAAAAGTTGGTTTCAAAAAGATGTATAAACATTCAAAACTTTTTCATTAAGCATAAATAAAAATAAACTTAGATATTTTTTATGCATACTCAGTAATATTTTTTTAAAGAAATAACAAGCTTATGTGTTGTACAAAGCTTACTCTAAAACAGATTACATCTGTTGTAGCTGAAATCTGTATGAAAAGAGTAGTAGTGGTTCAACTACTATTTTTGTCATTGTTGTGTGGAAACAGAAGTTTTTACTTTTTAAATTGTTATTACAAAGGTTTTGTGCAGAGGTGTTAGAGTGAATCAGATAATGAGTACACTTGTTTTTGGACCATGCTTGTTCTCGCCAAGCTTTTCCTCCTGTCCCACAAGTTGTACAGTTCATTTTCAACATAATGTCTAGTGAGTACCACTGCTACATTTGTCCACCTTTTGTCCCTCCATTTCTTTTTTTTTGGGGGGGGGGATCCGGTCTTGGGCCTGAACTCTGGGCCTGTGTGCTGTCCTTCAGCTCTTCAGCTCAAGGCTAGTGCTCTACCACTTGAGCCACAGTGCCACTTCCGGCTTTTTTTCTTTTTTGCGTATGTGGTGCTGAGGAATCGAACCCAGGGCCTCATGCATGCAAGGCAAGCACTCTACCACTGAGCCACCTTCCCAGCCCTTGTCCCTCCATTTCTGTAAGAGAAATGTTAACAAAGAAAGTAAGTGACATTCTTGGAGAGGCAGATTTTCTGTCCTGGAAATAAAAAATTAATATATTTTTTGTATTAATGTCTTAAATTCATAGGAATAATGACTGCTTTTGGATGTTTTAGGCCTTACTCATCCAAGAAGCAAGATGGAAATTACCACACCTGTTACAGTTGCCTGAAAATTATAACACCATTTTTCAGTACTACCACAGAAAAACTTGCAGTGTCTGCACCAAGGTTCCTAAAGATCCTGCTGTTTGCCTTGTTTGTGGCACTTTTGTATGCCTGAAAGGACTTTGCTGCAAGCAACAAAGTTATTGTGAATGTGTATTGGTAAGCAATAGTAAATAACACATAAAATTTATAAAAACTTATGTCTCATGGAAATTTGCTATGCATGATCATGAAGTTTTCAAATTTAGTATTTAAATGAAGCACAGTATATAAAGGGATTGTTTGTTGGTTTTGTTTTTTATTCTTTGTAACTCAGTGGAAGACTGAAAAATAGAAATGAAACAAAACTTCAAGGTTGTATTTAAGTGGGTATAACCTATCATAAATACAATTCTAGTTCATGTCCACTGTCCTGCTGGCTTTTTAATGGTCTATTTCCCTGTGCTGTGGCCATTTAGCCTCTGAATTTAGTGTGGTTCTTTATTGCTTTTCTTTTCTTTTCCTTTTTTTTTTTTTTTTTTGGTTAGACATGGGGCTTGAACTCTGGTCCTGGGTGCTATCCCTGAGCTCTTCAGCTCAAGGCTAGTGCTCTACCCCCTATGCCACAGTACCACTTTTGGTTCTCTAGTAGTTTGTTGGAGAAGAGAGTCTCAAGGACTTTCCTGCCCAGGCTGGCTTTGAACCTCGATCCTCAGATCTCAGCCTCCTGAGTAGCTAGGATTACAGGCATGAGCCGCTGGTACCCGGCTTCTTTATTGCTTTTCTAATGATGTTTACACAAATTTTTCTTAATGTATTAGAGTATGGGGAATGGGGTTATAAGGTTAATATCAATTAAATCTAATTTAAAAATTTTAAGATATCTATTATTTAGAAGACATTCTAAATTTGTTAAGACATTCTTGATTTGGTCATAAAGTTCAGTTGATTATGAAATGCATTGACATTCTTTTATTTTTTTTTAAAGCATTCTCAAAACTGTGGTGCTGGAACAGGGATTTTCCTTTTGATCAATGCATCGGTAATTATTATCATTCGAGGTCACCGCTTCTGCCTCTGGGGTTCTGTGTATTTGGATGCTCATGGAGAAGAAGACCGGGATCTTAGGTTAGATCTGCATGGATATATCTGGGTGTTTTGTTGAAGTCCGGTCTGTAAAACCCAATGTGCTATTCATGGCTTTGTAAGTAAAAATATATATTACATAACGTAAATATACACTTATATGTACATTGTACACACACACACACACACACACACACACAAATATATATTACATAAAGTAAATATACACTTATATGTACATTGTACACACACACACCTTAAAAATTCTGCCAGCCACTAATTTAGAAGTTTTTATTCCAAATATTTTTCTTGTCAGACATGCTTAAGAAATATGAAATAAACCAAATTACTGAGATTTCTCTTTTAACCACAGTGTAGTAGAAGAAATGCATGTGATGCATATAAAATCTCCATTGCCTTGTATTACCTTTAATACTTTTTCTTTCTTTCTTTTTCTTTCTAGGCGAGGCAAACCTCTCTACATTTGTAAAGAAAGATACAAAGTTCTTGAGCAACAGTGGATTTCTCATACTTTTGATCACATCAATAAAAGATGGGGTCCACATTATAATGGGCTGTGACTTACCAACTCAGCATTGCATTACAATATCATTTTCATTAAGAATTTATTTTATCAACAATAAGCTTTAATTTAATTTGGGGGAATTAATGCTTTTGCTGAGGGAAAGAAAGAAAACGTACATTATGAAGCCTTTCCAAAATTAGGTGCTTGATAAATCACATTATTGGTATAATTTTTAGGAAGCATCTGGAGAACAAACCAGTAAGTTAAATCATTCTTTAGTGGTCATTTTATTAAGTGCACAATTAATAAAAAGCACAACTTGTCCACAAAATCATTCAGAAATGATTCTCCCTACAATGCATATCAACTATTCATGGATACTTAGAGTGAGTGTGATTTATTTGAAAATTTACTGCTCTATTTTAATTTGCATCTTCTTAACATAATGCATCTTTTTTCTCTGTCATTGTGTTGATTTGAGATTTTTGCTGTATGTAATTAGAAAAAAATGTAAAACATGATTTATGTGAAATATTGTATAGTAAAGTTGGTCTAATAATAGAACTTTAAATTTTTCTTATTGTGAGGAATCTGTTAAAAGTTTAAGGCTTTGCTGAAAACTTAATTCATTCTCAGGAATTTCATAAATATTCTCCCCAGGTAAATAATTGAAATAGCTGTAAAATAAGTAGATAGTGGTTGTTAATATAATACAGTACATGGGGGAAGGGACACATATGTGTGGTTGGGTACTTAAAAGTCAAAACTTGTGGGCTAGGGATATAGTTCAGTGTCAGAGCATAAGATCTCATGAAGCCCTGAGTTTGATTTTAGGCACCATTAAAAAAAGTTAAAGAAAATAAAAAATTAAAATTTGCCATTTGAGGTGGTTGAATTGTTAGAATTAGTAACAAATAGATTTTATTATCAAATCAAAAGGTTTAAGAACATACTTGTCAGGTTTGATTCTGTGGTTGTCTACCTTTTATTTCCAACCTAGTTTTTTTTTTTAATATAATTGATTAGAAGTGCTCATACTTCCCAACAGATGAACCATAAATTTTGGAACTTCTCTATGATCTCAAGATACTCATTTGTATTATATTCATGCAGTGTCATCACAGCTGATTTTGCTTGGTTTCCTAAGAGGAGTGAAGGACAGGCTCAGTTGTGGTAGCCTTCTGCATGTGAAATGCAAATTATGTTTGGATTTTTAAATCAGAATGGGAATGAATGAGCTAAAAAACCCACTCAATATTTGGGAAGAAAAGTTACAGAAAAGCATGTTATATATTGGTACAAAGATTTTTCTCCCAAATAATTAAGTAATTTGGTAATTATCCTCCTGTATTATGCTAAAAAAGTAGGTCCTTATACAACTTCATGGCTGTTACATAAAATCACATTTTTCCATATAAAAATTAAGAAGCGTCTAATGATGAAACATAAAAGTAACATCAGATCCATGTTCTAAAATTTTTTGAATGATATGCCATTATAAAATATGCAAATAAACATTAAATGATGGCCTTGCATTAAGATAGTGAAAGCAGAATAGTACATGTTAAATACGTTCACACCATCAGAGAATTACCTATAGCACTATAAGAAAATACATGAAAATAGCTTGCTATTTTTATATACATTTCCAGAATATTAAGATAACTTTTTTCTGTAAGACTAGACTGATTCTGTTTGACTATATCACTGTCCTTTCCAACACATTGCTACTTTTTAAAATGCTGTATCATAAGCTCAGCATCAATCATTATGAATACCACACAATTTGTTTAGGTGTGGTTGAAGATAAAATGCTAATTTACATCTCTAGTAAATACTGTTTCTGGATTCATGAACTTGAACAATTCTACAGCTTGAAACTCTGATGCTATATATTCATGGTATATTGTATTCAGACTTTGATTACTACATATTTAAAACGGAATGTTTTATGGTTGTGAATATGGATGTGAAGTGAAAATATTAGCCTTAACTTTAAATTTTGGGTATTTGATAGTGTTTATTTTAATATTGGTGAAGTAGTCACCAATAAGTTTTATAAAAAGCACTTGGTTCAAAATGGTACTTGAATACATACATGCATGCTGCTAAACCAGAACTTTAATTTTTCCCCCAATAACTTTTATAAGTCCCATTTATAAGCTCACTTGTAAAAAATAACAGGTCCAAGTTAGAGTGATGTGTGTATATTATTCAAAAAATGTACTGGTGTGATACCTTGTCTGAATGATCATTCAAATACAGTACATTACTGTAGAAGCTAAATCAACGTTTATAATTAAGCAGAAATTACAAAATTAGGAATAATTGACATTGTAAAATATGTTAATAAAAACCTACTGTCATTTGGTTTGTGAAAGATCCTTAAAATGTTTAATGTTTATATGTTTTTCTCTTTTTTTTTTGCCCCTTAATATATTGACAGTAGTAAATGTAAGCATAGCCGAAAAGAAAAAACACAACATAGCTAGTGGAATATAAAGGTTTTGTTTTTTATTGTGCCTTTTATTTATAGAACTAGTTGTTTTGTTCTGGCCATCGGGGTGTTTTGGGGTACAGGAAAAGGGAAATACTGTATTCCGAAAGTCCCCAACTAGACTTTAAAATTTTCAAGTACTTTGTGAAAGCATCTGAATAATCTGTAGTCTTATTTGAATTGATAGTCCTCTTCCCTGCCCCTTCACTCTGAAGCTTACCAGCTAATAATCAGCTAGCAAACTATTTCCCTTCTGTGTGTTTTTTTTAAATTAGGTTTTATGCATTCTATTATTTGTTTTCTGTGATCTAGAAAAGATGCTGACTAAAAGTATTGAAGGCTAGAGGTAACAAAATAAGTGGCCCCAAATTATAGCATCTTCAGGATTGTAACTGTGACTTTCACAAATTCCTCTTATTAGCTTGTATTTGCCAAGGTGCATTTACTGCAAGTAGGCCTGATAGTTGATTTTTATAGAACAGATAGCATGTGACACAGACATAGCACATAGTCTTTTCCTTCAAGGCTTTATGCTCTGGTTGGATGATATCAAGCAATACTTAGTTCAGCAGGGATGAGCTGGAATGACAATGATGGCAACTTGATCCTTTCTGTCTCTATGAAACTTCAAACTATCAGCTAGGGGAAGAGCTGACAACAGCTATCTTAATAGGAAGTAATTAACTAGCAGTAGAATGAATGGGACTCAAGTTGATGCAACGCAGTAAAATGGTTCAGTGACTGGCTTACATGAGTTAAATTCATCATTAAATTCACATGTCAATGCTAAATTGATGAAGGAAAGCACATCAGAAGAGTTGGGGCAAAAAGCACAGTTAGTAAAGGATTCAACTGGAAGAAAAGGAAAAATGTAAGAGAAAAAGTCTGGAACAAAATATCATGGTATCTGATCCCTCTTGATGACAGAGGGACAGGATTGTGTGAAGACTCAAAGGTAAAAGTTTAGAGAAAGGCTAGGAGAGAAAATATACCCCAAATGAGGAAAATCACCACAGAAGCCATATTGAGAGTCCTATGGTGTTCAAAGTCATAACCATTTAATGGTACTAATTACAAAGGTACGGGGACTTTGTGAAGCCCCAAAGGTACATTGTAGTATTTGAAGGGGGAAAAAATTAAATGTTAAATTAATTCCTGGTTTATAATTACAGAGCTAATTGTAGTGGATAAAGGTGTAATTGATAAATGCATTATGTGTGCTGGTTGAAATGAGTGTGGGATCCATGCTGGATTTGTAGGATTAACTGGAGGATGTAAATTGGAAAGTCAAGATTCAATGAGCAGATTTAACAGAATTTTCCAGGTTTTTTGAAATTATGAAAAATTGCTTTGGTGTTGAAGCATTTAAATTCATTGATTTGGTAAATATTGAACCATGTGTTATGCACCATGATGAGTAACAGATATACAGTGGAAAAGAAGTCATATAGCTTTTTCCATTACGTTGCTTTGCATATGATTAGCACTATAAATAATAAATGTGTTTGGTTAGAGGGTAGAGAGTAGATTATAATGTTCTGTAGATGAACCCTGTGAACCATAAAAGGATGCTTCCAGTGGGTAGACATATCTAAAATGATTCTCCAGTTGGTGTGGGTTGGGGAGACATGTCAGGCAGTCATAGGGAATAAAAGATCCAGAGTTGAGAAAGAACTTGTAGTTAGGGACTATAAAGAGAGTCATTCTGACTCTTTAGTACAAGTGCTTCTGATAGGTAAGTAAAATATAAACTTCTTAGGTATCTCTATCCTTTTCTAGAGTGTATTGGATATCAGAGTGACGTGGTCAGATTTGCAGTTTACAAAAGGCAACCTGGCTGTACTGTGAAAAATTTCAGAGTGGGAGACTGGTTGAGTCTAGACACAGTATCATAATTGACTCAGCTAGAGGAATTGAGATGGCAGCCTAGGTCAACTTCTAAGCTCACTCACATGGCTATTGGCCAGACTTCTCTGTCTCTTGCCTCTCAAGAGTGTTCTAGCAACACAATAGCTGATTTCAAGAGAGGGAACGACAAAGCGTGCCTTTGATGAAGACTCCAGTGTCTCTTATAAGATGATCTTCAGAACAGCCCATCACAGCCATCCGCTGGTGGCTCACACCTATAATTCTAGCTGAAACTCAGGAGATCTGAGGATTGTGGTTCAAAGCCAGCCCAGATAGGAAAGTCTTTGAGACTCCAATGAACCACCAAAAAGCTAGAAGTGGAGCTGTTGCTCAAGTGGTAGAGTGCTAGCCTGGAGCAGAAGAGCTCAGGGACAGTGCCCAGGCCTTGAGTTCAAGCCCCAGGACTGGCAAAAACAAACCCACTAAACAACAAAAAAAAAACCCATTACTTCTAAAACAAACTGGTGGGAGATGATGGTGCAAGAGTATAAGTACTAGGACATTAGATACATTGGGTACATTAGGAACCTGTCTTACTGAAGACACCATAAAATGCCAAATGAGTAGGCAGAAAGCCAGGATTTGTGTGATCTCTCTTTTTTGTGTCTCCCAAAATCTGTAATTATTACAAAGGGAAAAATGAGAAGATAAATACTTTGTTAAAGCTAATTATCAGCATCAAGGCATATTGACTTTTGAACCCTTTAATATGGTACAGTGCATGCATCATTTCTGTTTCATTAGTCCAATCACGGGAAACCATCAGACAGTTGAAGGGCATTCTACTAAACAACTTACTAGTATTCCAGAGTGTAAAGATTGAAGATGAGGAAAAAACTGAAGTTTTTTTTTTAACATATTGGAAAGCACTTAGGAGAAATAACTAAGTGTCATTTGGATTTTTGAACAAGACCTGACACCAAAAATATACATTATTGGAGATACTAAATAATGCCTGTTCATTTTGTAATAGTAAACCTAATGTTAATTTCTGAATTTGATAATTATGCTGTGACTATGTGAATTCTTAACAAGGGAGAGGAGTAAAGGATACCTAGGAACTTTTGCACTATCTGGATATTGTAACTTCTGCAGATCTAAAAGTTGAATTTTAAATGGTAAATCTATTCCAGAAGACCTGCATTCCTATTGAAAGAGCACACTAAGTACTAGCAAAATTGGTAATAGTCAACTTCAAGACTTACTCTCTACATTTTGACTCTAAAGATCGAACTTCTCAAGGCTTAGAAGCCACTTCTCTCTCTCTCTCTGTGTCTCTCTGTCTCTCTGTCTCATCTATATCTCAAGACACATCTATATGTTGGGACACAGAGATGAGAGAAGTAGACTTGTCACACTTTACAGTCTACAACTTAAGGTAAAAATCAGTTTTGTTAGAGTAATTTTCTAAGATCATTCTCACCAAGTATCAGGACCATGGAAAAATAAATGTACACATGAAAATGAAAAAAAAATGCTACTAAAAGATTGACTTTATCCAACCACAAGTACACTAATGAAAGTTTAGCAAGAAGTCCAATACTGGTGCTGAGAGTGTAACCTAAGGCAGAACAGTTGCCTTCCATGCACGAGGGCCTGAGTTCCATCTAGCACTACATGTTAAAAGCAAAGTTGTGTATGTTTTTACTGTGGCTACTGAGACCTGACTAGCCCAGCCATATGTTTATCTTATTGGAGGAGATTATGACTAAAAGACAAAGGATAGTACAAACAAGCAACAAAACCAGTGGAACATGGTAAGATTATATATATACCTAGTCCCTCTCTCTCTCTCTCTCTGTATATATATATATATATATATATATATATATATATATATATATGCTAGAATCAATAGAAAAAGAATAGAAGCACACCATAGGGATTCTGCAAAATAATATAAGCTGCTCAGGGGAAAAGGGATAGTTAGCTCAAAAGACTTCCCTATAGTAACATTGAGAATGATAATAAAGGGAAATACAAAATAATTTTAAAAATGGAAATAACTTTAAAGTTGAAAGAATTCTTAACCAAAGATCCTCTATGAGACAAATATTCAAGAATGAAGAGAGACGTTCAAATACAAATGGAGAGAATCATCCTCACCAACAAAGGAAAATCCAAGGTAATTGTTTAAACAGGAGGAAAATAAGCTCTGATGGGAGATTGAATTTCAGCAAGAAATGAAAGCCAATCTGTGATACATGTACACATAAATAGCTGAATAAATGTTTATGGCATAAAATTATTACACATTCTACCGCATTTCCATGTATCTGTATTTGAGTGATAGTAATACAATTCAAGCTGACAGAGGTAAATGGAACTGAAATGTTCCAAGTTCTTATATTATGTCAGGAGGATAAAGGTTAATATACTCATTTTTCAATCTCTGTGGCCTTAGATTAGTCAAGTTTCTTGGAATGATGCCTAAGAAATGACTTCACACACACACACACACACAAATAAATTGGACTTGACCAAAGTTTAAAACTTTGCATTTCACAGGGACATAACGTGCAAAGAACTTACAGAATGAGAGAAAACATCTGCAAATCCTACCCAGGACCTTGTGTTTACTCAGCTCCTTTGCTCAGCTGGTGCTCTACCACTTAACCGAGTCTCCAGCACAGATTTTTTATTTAATATATATTTTTATTGTACCAATACTGTTCAGAAGGGTTATAGTTACATGAGTAAGGTTATGAATACATTTGCTATCGAGCACTGCTACCCCCTCCTTTGTTTTTCCCCTACCATCCCTTCCTTCCCCACCTCCCCAACTCCACCCTCCTCCTACCCTGAAGTTGTAAAGTTCATTTTCAACATAATGTCCTGTACACCTCATTGTTACAATGGGACAACTTGTATCCTTATTTCAGCATTTTGTTATTTCCCTTCTCCTCCCCAAATTAGAAATATGTATATACCGGAATCAAATACAAGTGAAAACAGGGGTTATACCATGGGA